GCACAGTGACAGAGCAGAGCAGCTATAAGACAGCGGAGCTTTAACTGCTAATACAGTAACTTACAGAGAGAGAAATAAACCTGCACTAATGATCCTTCCTGACCGTCAGTCAGTGATTCAATTTCTGATTAAATTTATTCTGCTCCTCATATTTTATATCTTATAACTGTTGTTGATTGCAAAGTTGCTAAAAGCTTAGTAAAGAATAGACAATATATTGTATTGTGTGTGTGCATGTGGGGGGGGGGGGGGTGGTATCAGGTCTGCACAGTCATCTCATCTTGTCTCTGTCGCCTTCTGGCAGAGAAGGAGATGAACCTGAAACCAAAACCAGATAAAAATGAGAAGAAAACATCCTGAATGCAGCTGGAGGACAAATTAGACAAAGCAAATAAACTAACTCATGTATAGATTCTCTGTGTGAACTTATGTTATATAAAGTTTGAACAAAATAAAACTTCTGCAGGTAAGGCTATTTTATTTAACAATTTAAGATAATGACATCAATATTAAAACAGACACACTGTTGTACCACAAAGTACAGATGTTCTGTAAACATAGCAAAGGTCTGGATTTAATGAATAAACTGAAAAATCACACACTTTAAATATGACATCACACAAACATCCAATTCTATACAATACTGATTATTAATATTTCTTAATGGCATTTACATTCAGTGAAAGGCAATGATTCATAACATTTTATTGAATGGATTCACAGCTGAAGTCTGACTGTATCTACAAGCATAAGCTCTGCTGTCATTGTAGCTTCAAACACAAATGACAAGTGACACTATCAGCTGTGTCCATGTGAGGGAGCCACAGGCCACATTCTGTGCAGTGAAGCCCCAGAACCACACAGAGCCGCCTGGGTCAGATCCAGAATAACCAGGCCGTTTGGCTTAACTGGGTAATATGCGTTTGGACAGAGCAGAGATTCAAAAGTAGACTGAAAAATCAGTGCCGATAAAAATCAGAGCAAAAAAATCATATAAAGCTTCTTTTCTCCAACATTTTCTTAAACTATAGCACATACACGGCTTATATGACAGCAACGAATAATAAAAAAAATTAATGAATATGCTCCTAACATTGTAAATAACCTCTCAGAAGGTAAGTTCCATGGTAACAGGACTTACTGTGACATCATGGAGGGTGAACTCATGCTTTTGGTTGCTGTTGGCTGGAGTTCTCAGAATCAGTGTCAGACGCTACAGTGAAAAACCCAAAGATTAAGTCACTCGGTTTGGTTAATTTCTATACATACATACTAAAGGACTGCAGGCAATTTATTCAAGGTGATATTTCCACTTAAATCAATTTTAAATTT